TTGTAAAATATATTTTTTAATTTTAGCATATACATAATAAAAAATGATTCATCAATAAAAAAAATAAATAAAAAGTTAAAAAAAAAAGCACTCAACGAAAAGTCTCATTTTAAAGATCCAGAAACTATCATCACTTTCAAAGTAGCCAAAAATATATGTAAATAACACACGAAACTATCTTGCGCTCGACATTGAAACATCTACTGATCATTCCTATCGTTTTCTCTCGCATTTAGTCTCGTGTCACTGGGTTATCACACGTCCCGAAACGGAAGTTGATCGTCTCCCTGGATCGCGCCCAGAGTGCTTATAGGGTGAGTGCTTTTAGAGCGCGAGCCTGCACATGTAGCGATGAAACTTTACGCCGACAGTACAAAATAAGGAGGACAAAACGGCGGGGCCAAGATAAAAGAGGGTTAAAGTAAGAGAGTGCACGCACGAACAGGAGTGGGAGACCGGGAACAAATGCGAGGCTCTTCCTCCGTTTATGGGGAGAAGGTTTGCCAGGGGTTGGCACGAAGAGATGGAAGAAATTCGTGGAAACACCAAGAAATTGGATAAGCAGACGCAAGGGTTTGTTTTGTCCAGGGGTTCGCAACACGGCGAGGGTGAACGCCGACTCTCTTCGGGATCGCGTGGTCGGTGGCCGTAGACCCGACCGCCATCGCGTGTCTTGGCGAACTTCCTTTCGCTCGTCCGTCTGCGCGGAAATCGGCAATCTGCTAGCCCGAGACAGGCACTCGCTCGCCGTTAACAAGCGCTGCTGGATCGATGGATTGAAATGGCTTTGCTAGTTAAATTAATATTCCCTCGGAATCCCTTACTTTTCACGAATGACTAAATCACCTCCGCGAGAATTTCCCCCACTAGCGGCTTCTAGGAAGTCGTTTAGCGACTGCAAACTGAATTGCTGTTTAATCAACTTCACTTTTGTATTCCTTCACAAATTCGAAGAAATGCTATTATCACTATATTTTTTTTTTTTCGATACTACGCGTAGCTCATAAAAATGGCAAGAAAATAAAAAGCGTAATGCTTTGACCAAGTTTTCTACTGAAAGTACGAGATGCATCTTTACGCCAAATATCAAAAGCCCGACAATGGGATTGCGATTATCGTCCGAGCGAAGGGTTGCTTGCCCTCATCAAACTCCTATATATGCGAATCGAATGGTATGGAATACGGTGGTAGACAGGGAGAGGAATCGGCGAAGGAAAGAGAAAACGGAAGGACGAGGAGCGGGTCTGGGTGGAAAAGCAAGATAGAGAGGAACGAGCGGGAGGTACTAGGTGCTGTTTGTTGAATCCTCGAGATCAATACGACATACCCTATCTCTTCCTCCCTCGTAATATTGCAAACCATAGCACGCGTGACACACGTATATGTTCGTATTCCCGATATCACATCGAGAAGCGAGGTGGGATGCTGCGCCGAGTGGGTTTGGATTTTTTACAAAACTGATTACCAACTTTTTTCGTTAAAAAAAAAAAAAATTAAAATTGCGATTAGATTATCTATTTGTGTTTTTTTTTCTACAAAATAAATTGACATTAATAAAGAGAAGAAAGTTGATGATTAATTATGCGATCGTCATGTCTGTGTATGCACATATATCAGTCATCATGCCAATTATATCATGAAATTGCGGTATTATACCCTCAGATTCAGATAGGCAAATCTTCATGCTAATTTCTGAATAAAAATCTCACGATTTCATAGGAATCTTTGTTTGAATTCTCGTCAAGCCTCATCGATACACCCTTTATATATAAAAATTCAAATCTTTACAGGATTTTTTCAAAAATATTTGTTTCGCAGGAAAAAAGCGACGCGAGTGAAAATTACAGTTCACATCTCCGGTTTTCCCACCCAGGGAAATCTCTAGGTAATTTTTCATTCCAGCTCTTTCATAAAGCTTAAACCTTTCTACAAAAGGTTAATATACTGTAAAGGGATGGCTTTACGACGGAGGCCTATCTTTCAAGAAACTAGACTGGTCATATCACTTTACTTAATACGTGCTAGTTACACCGCAAAGAATTTCAGAGAGGAAGCTCTTTCTAACTCTATCCCTCTCGCGTTTCATCCCCATTCTACCTCTTCCGACCAATCGAGGAAGCTTGCTTATCGTCATCGCGAAGGGTGAACTGCGCACTGCGGTATGGGACGAAAATAGGTCGGCCAATTCTCGTGTACCAGCACCCTCTTTCGCCAACACCTACCTATCGACACCTCCGCACCCTTATCCGAGCTCTAAAAAAAACGGATATTTGCGAGTGAGCTTCGATCGTTTAGGCGCGGTCCTTTCGACGCGCACTCACAATCAGTGTCAGACTTAAGCACCGCCGATGCGCTGAGAGGGAGGTGGAATGCGTAATAAAGTCGTCCAAAGTGTTACACGTTAATAATTAATTAATGCCTCGGAGTGACAGAGAGATGCGAAATTGGTAATATAATTTTGCAATTAAGTGCTTTCAATTATGCAACGTAACTTTGAAGGTATTACTTGTGTTAGCAAAGATATCACATCATATGAAAAAGCAGAAGCAACGTATTTGTAAATTTTGGCTCGCGATTGCAAATAATAAAACTCAAAAATTTATTAATCTTACAAAAGTACCAAATGTTAATTTATTGAAGTTTCTCAGTACAACTAACTAACTCTTGCAACTTTCTTAAATCTTGAACTTAAATCTCCATTATCTTCTTCAGAGCTCTATATATATCTTTTACTATTATCTTTATATAAGTAGGTATATATGCATAAAGATAATAATAAAAATTTTAATAATACTTTAAAGATCGGAGCAGGAACTCCTCGTCACAGTTCGATCTTGTTAATCAAAATAAACTAATTATGAGATCATCTCGAAAATAAAGTATAAAATATTATTCTATGTAATTGCTACATAGTATGATTGCGCGTACTTTTTAATTTCTTTCGGTGTTCCATTATAAAAAAAAAAAAAAAAATAACAATCTTATACACCTTCCTCTAGCGCATCGCACAAAAAAAGACCTATGTAAATATAAACATATTAACACCTGCGATTATACATCGTCAGTTCACTTCCGTTAAGAGAGACGAGCACATATCTCGTCATCTCTATGACGTGCAGAAATGCACGTAGTGTATTTTTCACATTCGATTCTTTCATAGTGCGATAATAACGAATACGTCACTATTAAAATTGTCAGTCTTATGGGAATTACCTAACGGCGTTGTTTTTCCTAAATGTCTGCTTTTATCACAAATCATCCGAAGGACCTTGGCGAACGATTCTTCTACATGTGAAAGAGTCTCTTCAGGATTCTTCGATTTTTTTTACTCTGGCCTATTTCCAAATCACTGCTTGTCTTCGGACCATCTCTCCGACGTGGAATACTGTTGTTGCTGGCCCACGGAAACCTGCGAGGCAGGCTGCGAGCCAGGTTGCTGCTGTTGCATCTGCATCTGATACAGGGGATAGCTCTTTCGCTTCCTGATACCGTGCATGGAAAGCAAGTGGATCTGCAGATACTGCTTCGTCTTGAATTGCTTGTTGCACACGTGGCACGAGATGTACTCGGTCTGCACGGTGTGAACGTTAACGATGTGTTGCTTCAAATTGGAATTGTTCGAATATATCTTGCCGCATTCGGGACACTTTGGTTTACCGTTGAGACTGGTGTTATCCATCTGTTGCTGGAACCGTCTCTGGGTCTGCAGCATCGCAATGCTCTCAATCTTGTCCTTCGCGCAGGATTGCAGCATCAGATTCAGTTGGTCGCCCTTGGCAGCGGTGGTGTTCTGCTGAAGACTCTGGAGATTGTTCTGCAGTTTCTGATGCATCATCGTGAGCTGTTCACTGTTCAGGCTGTTGAGGGAGTTGAGGGCATTAAGCTGCGACGACTGTTGGCTGGTGGCAGGATGATGATGGTGCTGATGGTGATGCTGAAAGATGGTCGACAGATCCTGCCCTTTCGAGTTGTGACCCCCGCCACTCTGGTAGGTTCCAGACCCGGTCTCGTTTCTCGCCGAGGACGTGCCCGGCAGCCAACCGGAACTCGAGCTTGAACCGTCTCCTCCAGAGGGCTGCCACCGCCCTGGAACCACCAGCCAATGTCAGTCCTCAGCCAACCTCGTACGATCCCTTAAACACTATTTAATCGCTCTTTTTTGTCTTTCGCAGCCCTTTTTTTTTTGCTATTCACTCTTTCGACTTTCTCCGTTTCGGAAAGTGCATTTCCAGGTTTTAAATATAGCTTGCCCTCGATAACTTTCGCTCGGTCCCTCCCCCAAGCCTTTCTATAAAACTAGGATCGATTCTTCGTACGAATTAATACCGTAATCATTTCTGGCGCTTCCTTTTGCGGCCTACTCTGTTTCGCCTTCTTCCTTGTCATCGCCTTCTAATATATCGCAGTTTTTTTTTCTATTTCTGATTTTTATTCGAATTTTTCTTCAAGCGAGAGCGAGATTCAAGCACTCGATAAGCGAATTGGTCACAATTTTAATTTTAAATTTAAATTTCGTTTATATAAAAAAAATAATGGCAAGAACTTTGTCAATGTAACGCGGGAATTAATTTTACAAAATTTGTATAATTTCCTAAATCAACAGATACACGAAAAATGAACCTCACGTCGCAGACGTGAGGACAAAAAAAAGCGAAGGTATACGACGGGTAAATAGTCGTTTTCGGGTCTAAAAATAATTGCATGATTGTAAAGAGAGTTCGCATTTTCGGAAGATAGAGTAAGATACGCTGTAGATAGAATAAGATACGCCGCAGTAAAAACGAAAAACCATCGAAATGCGACTCCGTAATACGCTCCTGGTTATACCGTGTAATAAGAGGGGTGGCTGGCAGGGGATGCAAGGTTATGAGAGGTACGAGAGTTTTCATGCATTCCGAATAAAGACTCTTAGAATCTTAGGAAACGACGGAAGGATACTAGTCTGGGCTTCGAAAACATTTAAAAGAATGAGACCAAATTGATTGATTTAATATACTCACCATAATTTGGGTCCTGATTCGCCACTTGATGCATACCTGACGGACCTGGCAGCCCCATCCCTGTAATTTACGAATAAAGTAATTACTCGATTCAACAAAAACTAACTTTATTTCGAATGCAAAAAAAAAACAGCTTAATCATTAGATCAATTTAAAAATCATAATTTAATGACATATGAGATATATATCTCTCTTGAAAGGCTCATTTATAATAATACGTGATACATCAAAAAATTTAAGGACTTCAAGGTAGAAATATAAATCTTTAATGGAAATGTAGTATAAAACACGAAATTGATGTGGCTCAATGCAAATAAATATAATACAAATAAATAAAATCAAATTACGTTAATAATGTTAGTTTGGTACATTTAATAATAGATTTATATACCAATATATTTTCACAAGTCAAGAAACACAATAAAATTATATATACAAATAAAAATAATTATAATTATTCAATAATTAATTTTAATTGAAGCCGTAATTAGTAATTAAGTCGTACTAATTGCTAATTACAAAAGTAATTAGTAACTGGACGAGGAATTAATTATTAATTACAAATGTAATTAGTAATTAAATGTGCCATTAATTAAAAAACTAATTTGCATTCTCTCAACGAAATTAGGATTTCTTTGATTTATTATAAATTCGATTTTGCCTTGTAAATGATGAACCGACTGTTGTTTTCACAAACAAATCAAAATGAAGTAAATAATATTTCTTTCAACAAATTAATATTTTTCTTTTTTTTCTACAAGCATGCAGCAGGTAAAAGATTTAATGTATACTTAATGTAAAATGCGATATGTTAAAAATGGTCGATAATTTTCAATAGAAGATATATAAATAATAACCTTGAAGGCCCAATAATGCCGCAGGAAAACTGTTGCGATGATGATCTATAGAGTCGTTTAGAAGATCACTCGGTTCAGTCTTCACCGTGTTCAGGATGCTGCCGTTATTCGATATGTCTTCTTCATTGTCAGACATAGAATTCGAATCCTCCCCAGTCGACTGAAAGTAAATCAAAAAAATTCCCATTTTTTAAAAATATATAATTTTGTAAAATATCCGTATATTCTTCGGAATAATATTAATCAATTTTACGAAATTTTTATAACGAGATTTTTCTTTTCACCTGTATATTATTCGTAGGTATCGTGTGTATCGTGGGTCCACCTTCGAGAGCCTGACCTAACAAGGATTCTTGCAGATCCAATTTCTGTTCGACGTGGTTGTCCAATGGCGGACTGCAACTTCTCGGTCGCTTTTCCGGAGGACTCATATCACTTTCATTGAGGTCTCCTCTACCATTGTCCTGCCAATTACGTGGGGTTGCCTAACGAAAAATTAAAAACAATATGAACAATTGAAACAGATAATTATTCTTCACAATCTAGTTCCACAATTAATATTTAATCTTCAATAACCTAATTATATTTTTAATGTATTATAAATATTTTATATATAAATCTTTTATTATACTACAACGTATAATGAATTATATAAATAATGTAGACAATTAATATTTTATGAAAGCAATTTCCGAAATATAACTCCACGAAATACAGGATGCTTTCCGTCCATCAAGATTGTAATTGGATGCTGACATGGATTTGCATATACAAAGTTCATATTTTCTGAAGCGATTGAATCGTTTGGTGCTCCTGTTTTAATAGAAAAAAATAATGTCTCATATTTCTTCGACTATATAAAGTTTCTAATATGTTGTATTTCATCTTTTCTTTCTAATCAGATATTTTTAAAATATATAAAAAGGATAAAAAATATATATTATATTACGCGCGCGCTTGTGTATATACGTATGCATATATCATCCCGCGGCAAAACTTGGAATATTCATTCATTATTAAAGTTCCCGCGTAATATTTGTCTAACGTCTATTATAATATAAATCGCGAAATTAAAAGCTAAAGGGACGAGGCGGGGAAATCCTAGTCGGAATTTCGCCTGTCACCGTAACAGCGATGGCGTAGTGTTAAAAGCACATTAATTAAAATTCGTTTTAATTAAGGCTAAATTAATTAAAAGTTCGAAACCAACCGTATAATTCCTATAATTAATTTTCCAACTTTCATATTAAACTGCCGTGGGGACAACTTACAGGCGCGCTACCGTTGTTGCCGGCCGACGACGATGGAATTTTCGTACTGGAAACGCCGCTCTTAACGTCCGCCAATCCTTTTACCTGAAGCATCTGCGCTGTCTTCAAGAAGGCAGGCAGCTGCTCCTGACCTACGTGCACCTCTCCGTTGTACATGAAGCGTAGCAAGGACTCCATGTCCGACGATGCTACGTCCCTCAAGATTACAATTGGATGCTGACATGGATTTGCCTGAACAGAGAAAGAGTTCACGTTTCCTTTAAATGTCATCAATTCCGAATTGATCGATTCAAGAGATGCGGTTTACTTGAAAAATTTACAATATAGATTTGCGTATATATTTATTCATACATACATATATTCGAAGTACGATAATATTGCTCGTAAAATACATGTGTATTGTAATTATATCATTTGCATCACTCACACTCACAGACATACACATATAATTAATTATAATTAATTAAAAGTTGTAATTAATTAAGAATTGCACTCTCACCCTGTGTTTATTTTACAACGTTTAATTTTTGGATTTTTAAATTATGTTGGGCATCAATCGATTAAACTTCATATATAATATTTTTTTAAACAAGCTATACGCGCGCAAAAAATAAAAAAATTGTTTGCGAGTGTTTCTCGTTAGCACAAAAATCACAAATATAAAATTCTTGCATATTATCATAATGATAACATGGAACCATATAGAATCGTATTATGCGAAAGTTTTTATAGTGTCATATTTTTTTGTAAATCAATTATCGAGAATTATATAAAAATGACGTAAACGTGTCATTTTTATATTATTATGTAAAATATTTATATAAATATCATATAAAATTGTAATTTTATTTTGAAGAAAAATTGGCCGCATTCGTATCATTTTCTGATTCTTTATTTGAACAAAATTGTTGAAGGTGACATCATTATGTGTAATTATGATAACGATGATAATTGAATGTTGTAAATGTCATCATCATCGTCTACGTATCATGGTATAATCATAGATAACTTTGCTTTAACAATGTCAAAGTTTCCGACACGGAATTGCGCTATATTATATTTAGTTGTATTATAGTTGGGAAATAGATATAGTCCTTTAATCTCACTGCATCGAGTAAATCCTTAACAGTTGAACTTTTCTAATCTCAACTCTCGAAAACGATAAACATAGTGAAGATAAACAGGGAGCGCAAACTTCGAAACCTAAAGAACGCGTAAAAAAAAGACAAAAATTGTACACTAACATATAATGGAATGCAGACACCCAGAGCTGAAAACTGATTAGAATGAATCATTACTATTATTTTCATTATTGATGATAAAATGTAACACGTATTGATGATTAATCTTTTATCAGCAAATAATTATGGCACGCTATATTATATCATTATTGATAGTTTAATGACTTTATTTTTCTGTCATTATATTTAAAATTTTATTTATGAAAACTGCACACTGCACTTTTTTTATTAAACTTGTAAAACAATATATTATATTTAATTATATATGGTACATATATTAAATAAATATATAAATTTATATACATATATATTATAATTATATACATACATTGTCAAAATATTTTCAGACAGCTTTTAATTGCGTTTAAACTATTTCGGTCTGAAAATATAATATAATATCGCATAGAATTATTTATTATATCAAACACGCATAGCTGATTCGCAGAAATTTGATATAAGATACCAATGTCAAGTTAATCGCAGTAATTAATTATCAGCTTATTCCAAGTAGCTATTAGTACAGTTATTTCATCCGTAATCAGCTTTCAGTATCCATAGTGTGGCAATTATAAAAAGCACTTACCCTAACATCCGATCGATCAAAGTAATCGATCCGTAGAAAGCGTACAATTTTTCTAATCCTAGATTCATGTGAGCGGAGATCAGAAAATCAGGAGAGATATATCGATTCTCTCTGTACACGCGAGAGGTCAAAAGGTTTGACGCTCGAATCCTCTTCCTTTATAGTATTGAACAAAATATTTTTCCCGTACATTAAAATTCAGTAAATCGTGCTTCACTTCGATATCAATCTCGCGCAAAAAGAGAAGTTACACTTCGCAGGGTAAACGATTTAGCGTCGGTTAAAGGTTAAGAGGTATACGAGGATTCTGATCGATGCTCAGCAAATCGATCCTTCTTCCGAAGTGCTTAATCCCATCTACCGATGGACTGCGCAGGAGGAGTCTGATGGCCGATTAATTTGTAACGATTTATTACTGAGATGCATATAATCAGCGCAGCTTAATCCACGTCGAAGCTGACCTTCATTTTGCTGCACATTGCTGCATAAATTCATTTTTTTTTCCTTTTTTATATTTTATTTCCATCTCTGCTTCTTCTAATGCTGACGTTGCACACTTAACTCTTTCAGATTTTTAATATTATCTCTAAAATACGCTGAGAAAATCTTTTTGTTTTCATCTTTGTTTGCATAAATAAATTAATACAATCTGATTTTTATCAATTCGTAATGTAGCCAAAGAATATAAAATTAAATTAAATATAAAAAGAAGGAATTTTACACAAGATATGTCGAATGACAAATTATTCATGCGGTGCCAAGAATGTCATTTTTTTTTACCTTTTATCAATTGACCGAATAAAATGGCTTTCCGCCGACCTTTAATTGCATCTGCGAATAGTCACGCTCGACGGCCAATTGATTCGTAACGACGATTAATAACCTCGGCGCGTATAATGATCGATACTCAATCTACGTCGGGATGTTCCTGCATCCCTTGGGCATCAATTCTTGCACCTGTCAAACCAAAGAATTAACTCTTAATATTGAACGATTCTTAAAATCGTTAGACGGCAACAATTTATTCACGGCAATGAGTACAAAGTTGCTCGTTTGTAGCTTATGATTAATTATAATTATATAAATATATTTATAATATTATATTATACATATAAATAATTTATATATATATATATATAAAGTAGTATATATATATATATATAAATAATTGTAGGAAAAATTGTACTTGCCTATTATTAAATAATATATATAATATAATATATATATAATATATATATTATTTATACCTGGAAGATTACATTATTCAATAATTATGTTTCTGGAATTAAAAGTATTAAATTATAATTACACATATACATAGATATCATTAATTCACACTCATTCTCACTAATTCTCACTAACTCATTAATTAGATAATTATTTATTTAATTCGAATAATTATTCCTATAAATCGATCCATAATTATTAAGCTGACCCTATTACTTAAATCATTATTTATAATATTATATGTATAAATAATTTATATAAAAAATTATACTTGCCTTATTAAATTATATATGTATATATATAATATATTAAATACTTGAAAGATGGTGTTATTCAACAATTATTTGTGGCATTAAATTTCTATTAAATTATAATCACACATACATAGACGTTATCAGTTCTCACTCATGCTCACTAATTCTCACTAACTCATTAATTAGATGATTATTTATTTAATTCAATGAATTATTCCTCTAAATCGTTTCAAAATAGTATCAAGCTGACGTTATTACTTAAATCATTAATTTCTAAATTTGTGCATATATATAGTTGCAATATGTGGGCGCAATAAATGCACAATGCGTTCTCGGCTGAGCGGAGAATTTGCATCGACGTGTGCCCCGGTATCAATCACGATCGCTCTTGCAAAAAGATCGCGAGGGAGCAAATCACCTTCCTCAAGGCGCATAAAGCGGAGGCGTTTCACAGCGATGTATCTAATGCCGTGGCAACACTACACGAAATGCCGGTGCCATTATCGACAGCGATATTAATTATAATTAATGAGCCTCACGGGGTGGCACGGCTTTCTGTGCGTCTGCCGGTTATTATATCGAGACGACGTGATGCTGCATACATGCATATATATATATATATATATATATATACAATATTCTCCACAAGTTTGGAAACACCTTACATTTTACGGTTAAAGAATTGCATGACAGCGATCTGTTATAAATAAAAATGTCATTTAAATATTTTACGTTTATTTTATGATTTATTTATACAAAAAGTCTGCACACATCTGTCAAAAAGATCCTCTTAATTTAAGAGAAAAATTTCTCTACAGAAATATTCTTTAATTAAATATTCTTAACATGCAAGTATATAAACTTAATGGATGTTTTTATCAGTAGGTATATTATGAAATATTATTAATCGTGATAACAAAAAACAGTCTCATTATAAATGGACATTTGTTATTTATTGCATAGTATATCCTTCTTGTATTTTCTCGCATGTTACGAATATCTAATTAAAGAATATTTCTTTAGAGAATTTTCTTTTAAATTAAGAGGATTTTTTTTGACAGATCTGTGCAGATTTCTTGTATGAATAAATCATAAAATAAACGTAAAATATTTAAATAATATTTTTCTATTTATGACAGATCGTTGCCATGCGATTGTTTAACTGTAAAATGTAAGGTGTTTCCAAACTTATGGAGGATACTGTATATGCATATATATATATAATATATATATACACAACACTAATATTCCCTATTCCTCCGAGACATATTACAATAATGTCGCGATCTCGGAGAGCCATTTTGACTTCGATTATCTACGTCTGCGTCCTAAATTTAATGTCGGTACGTGAAAACCGCGGAGACCTGGACGCTCTCTGCCACGTGCAGGGACATTTATTATTGGTCAGTATCGACTTAATGTCCGTACACGTGGTGCAACGAAGTGCGCCTCTCGATTTATTGAACTGCAACGGAAGTATATTGTGTGATCGCGTGGAAAGTGCTTCTTGAGATAGAATCAAGTTGCGCGGATATATCGCGTGAAAACGTCGTATATAACTAAGGAGAAATGTTAATCAGTTAATGGATGGATAGACGTAGATGTAAGGAAATACACGTATTATAAATTCTGAAAATGAAGTAATACGAAGTTAGAGAATATAACTGCATATTTGAAAAAATAATTAATATTAATATGCACAAATATAACAGTGTGTGTATATTAATATTAATGATTTTTTGGGTATGTAGTTGTTCTCCAACTTCGTTTCGTATTTTTAATTATTTCGTAATTAAAAAAATTAATATTAGTTAAAAATAATTAATAAATGCTTTAAAAAATAATGAACATTAATATACATAGATATAGTATGAGTAAATTAATATTAATTATTGTTCTAAAGTATGTAGTTATTTCTCCAGCTAA